GCTGAGCATCATACGATCAGCAACCTGGTTATACAGCGTGGCTGCTCTATGATAGCGTTTAAAGGCATGCCCCAGGATCACATTGGTGTGGCTCTTGCACACGAATGCGAATGTATTGGTGCGAAAGTGGGCCGGCAGTAAAGAAAAAAGGAAAAGAATCCGTCGAAAACGCTTAGGTTAAGGGCTCACTCACCTTCCTAATCGGCTGTGCTAAGGGAATGAGAGACTAAGCGCGGAGAGGAGAGTATGAGGCGAGAGAGCGCTACAGATGAGAGAGCGCCAGACAACAGCCTGATAAGAGAAAAAATCTGCAGCTTCAGCAGCTTACTTTGCAAGGCCCAAGCGCTCTTGTCGGTTGGTTTCCGTGCACGGGAACGCCACATTTGTGATTGTCCTCTAGGGTCTATACTACAGACCGAAGAGAAGCGTTCACACGACCTCTGCCTGGGTTGTGCCTTTAACTATCACTGTCAGTGTTCCCGATGTTTTACCCAATAGGAATTTCTTCCCGTCGTTCCACAATTGCTCATCACACGGAAAAGCCCACCTGCTTAGGAGATCCGTGATTGATACTTGAGATTCCAACAGGAGTCGTTCAGCGCACATCCAACGATATGGTGTGAACGGCAGGCTGAAAAAACAAGACTATGCCAGATGAATTAGGTGCAGAGAACACTCAGCAGATCCGTAAGAGCGTAACGTAAGAATAGGGTAGACTCCAATGGAAGTAGTTAACCTGATCATTACTGTTAGAAATGGCCATAAACATCAAACCAAATTAGAACGGATCTGCGCTTCCACAGGTACTGCATCTATCGAATTAATCGGCTGGGTGAAAAAGATATTATAAAGATGTTGGAAGAAATTCGAGGTCTCAGCTGGAGTTGTAACACAGCGTTCAGCTCACTACTAACCGACCAAGGACAAATTCCTAGCGTGAAGTGTAAAGTAAGGAAATGAAATTCGTATAATTAGATTTGGAGACATATTGGCATGGTTGCTACTTTTTTAGAGAACAGATAGTATCGGAGCTGCGAAGAAAAACCTATCAGA